CAGGACTGCTTTGCAGGCGGGGCACCCCTGAGAACTGTCTGTCCGGGGTGGGGGTCGGGTCCCTTTAAGCACAGCCCTCGGCTAGCCTGAGGCAGCAGCTCTACGCTCTAAGTCCTCATCTGATGCCCTGCCGGCACTGCTTCCGGCCGTCCTTAACCCCGGTTCAGGGTCCACTTAATTTGGACATGCTAGTTAGAATTAGCAAAACACTAATTCGAACTAATTTTTTAGTCTGGATGCGTTAGTTCGAATTAGCGCTGTAGTGTAGACATACCCAGAGGGAGTCTGGGTTCAGGAAGGGGCTCAGGGCTGGGGCAGGGAGTTGGGATATGGAAGGAGGTGAGGGATGCAGGCTACAACCAGGCACTGCTTACCTCAGGCAGCTCCCAGGCAGTGATACAGTGAGGCTATGACAAGCTCCTACTCCCAGAAGTGGCTGGAATGTCCCTGTGGCCCCTGTGGGAGGGGACACATGATTTTGTGTGCAGCTCCTCCCTTCATGCACCTCCCCCACAGCTCCCATTGGACACAGTGCCCATTGCCAGCCCATGGGAGCTGTGGTGTCAGTGCTGGGGGCGGGGGCACTGCACATAGATCCTCTGCCCCCTGATGCCTCCCAGGAACCCCAGGGATGTGCAAGTCGCTTCCAGGAGTGGTGTGGGTCAAGGGAGGCAGGGAGCCAGCCCTAGTTCCACTGTACCACTGAACTTTTAGCAGGCAAAATTCTCCCAGATTAGCTGTAGTAACTTCCAAGAGATTGCGCCCAATTCTGAGAGATGGCTGGCAACGCTATCCTTGGCAGGGCTCTTCCCATCTCATTTGAACCCACAAAGAACCCCAGTTTCCCTTGCTTAAACTATCTCTATGCTCCCCTCATAGGGAGTACGTCTAGATTGCAAGACTATTTTAGAATATCTCCGGTATCTCGAAATAGCTACCCCACATCCAAAGTATGCGCCTGCTATTTTGAAATAATTTTCAAAATAACGGATGCACTATTTCGGCATCCCTGTAAACCTTGTTTCATGACGAATAAGGGATGTCTCAAAATAGTGCTTTATTTCAAAATTTGGCTCCACTTAGGGTGTGTCTAGACTACATGCCTCCTTCGACGGAGGCATGTAGACGAAATAGCTACCCCACATCCAAAGTATGCGCCTGCTATTTTGAAATAATTTTCAAAATAACGGATGCACTATTTCGGCATCCCTGTAAACCTTGTTTCATGACGAATAAGGGATGTCTCAAAATAGTGCTTTATTTCAAAATTTGGCTCCACTTAGGGTGTGTCTAGACTACATGCCTCCTTCGACGGAGGCATGTAGATTAGCCAGATCAGAAGAGGGTTTCACGAGGCTTACCTGTGCCGATGAAGAAAGGCTTCTTTGTCGGCGCGTCGCGTCCAGACTGCCCCGATCTGCCGACAAACAGCTGA